AAGAAGGGAAATGCATGGGATTTGGTGTCAGTTTGGAAGGCGGTATCAGGGCGGGGATGGCATCAGGGGTGGGAGCAGGGTTGGGGGGGTAAGAATGGGGAAGAGGACTGGGAGGTGGTGGGAGGGGGGAATGCATGGGATTCGGTGTCAATTTGTCTGGGGGATTATGGATGCAGGTGCAAGAGGGTTCTCTGTCTCTTCGGTTGGTCGACCCCCAAGCACAGTGGAGCCCTTCATGATTGACGAGAGAAAGGTCACACCAGAGCTTGTGGTTTTCTGGGTCATGAAGCGGCTGTACGCACAGAAATTGCTCCCTTGAGGCGGAGAAGCGATGCGGCCTGGAGAGAAAGAAACTACTTCCCCCTAGTATTCCTCTGTCAATTTCAAGGAAGATCCACAACTGTAAGAGCGGGGGACGGCACGGCACAGTCGGTTCAGAGAAAAAGAATTTCAAAGAAAGACAAGTTGTTGATGACGATCAAACTTACAAGTACGTTTGGGCAGCGGCGTTGACTTGCAAACGGGTCGGTCAAAGTCAGACTGCTGCCAAATTGGTCAGTCAAAGTGACCGACAAACCGGTCTGGTGAAATTGACTGACCAGAAGACTGGTTGGTTCGTCGAACTTAGTTCGAACGCGCCACCAGGTGAGACGGTCGACGAGCAGGGTGCCGTACGTATCCTGCAGCAGCCCGAGTGAGTGTGCCGTGCAGCCGGACCGAGTGTTCAGCAACCAAGCGGTCGTCAGCTGGGGGAATACGGATGGAGGACTTCTGTCGAAGAGACTGATTTGCGGTGTGTGCGGCAACGCGACATGGCGATAGATGGCATGTGCAGGAGAAGGTGGTTGGTTCCAAATTGCTTCTGCGGGACCACAAGGAGGCAGTACAGGCAATCAAAAGGCTGAGAGAGAATCGGGACATCGTCCAAAAGAGAGCTGTGAAAACACTGAGTGAAAACACTGAAAAGTTGAAAACCGACGTGCAAATCACATTCACCCCTTCAGATGGCGGCAACGGTCCAAGACTGTGCACAAGCGACTGGATGGTGAAAGAACTTCGAAAATTTTTAATTGACGCTGACGCTCAACAAGGAAAAGTGCTAAAAATGGCGGCCTCGTCACAAAATGTGCCGAAGTTGTGTGTTATATATTATTATAACTATGGGATGGGAAGCCGCTCAACTTCAAATCTGCTAAGTAGATGAAAGTTGTGTTAACCATTGGATCATTTAGTTAACTACGTGTTAACTATGTGTGCGAACTATGTGTTCACTATGTTCATTTACCGAGTTAACTCTTGGATCACTTAGTTAACTATGTGTTAACTACACACTGTGTTAACTATGGTTTCACTGTGTGTTAACTCTGTGTGTTAACTCTGTGTGTTAACTCTGTGTGTTAACTTTGTGTGTTAACTTTGTGTGTTAACTCTGTGTGTTCACTATGTGTTAACTATGTTCATTCATTGCACTGATATGCAAGGGCACTGCACCCTTAGCATTTAAGGCTTGTTTTGAGCTGAGCTGTGTGCTATCTGATGGGTTTAGTCCTGTTAGGGGGGATGAAAGAAGAGATGCAGGGACCACTCCACCCCTACCATTCACCGAAGTTAAAAATAGAAAGGAGTCTTTGAGAGGTCTTCGTAAAGCTTAGAGCTTTCTTTAGATCCAAAAATCATAGCAATAAGAAGACTATGGAACGCTGAGTTGTGTTCGACACAAACACGTCAGAGGCCCAAACTTTCAGCAACCAGTGGTTAACCCCTGGTCTTGTGTTAGGGTCTTGGGTTAGGGTCTTGGGTTAGGGTCTTGGGTTAGGGTCTTGTGTTAGGGTCTTGTGTTAGGGTCTTCTGTTGTGCCCTTTGTCTTGCTTTACTCACTGCTGGAGTCTGAAAGTAGTAGCTGGCACTGTGGTGAGAATGGGGTCTGGCAGCACATAGCACAACTGCCTGAAAGCAGTATAGCACAGCAGCTAAAGCCTAAAAGCACATAGCACAGGAGCAAAAAACACATAGTACTATAGTCTGAAAGCGTATAGCACTGGTGACAGTGTGTCTGGCAGCAAATAGCACAACAGCCTAAAAGCGGTATAGCACAGCAGCTAAAAGCACATAGTACTACAGTCTGAAAGCATATAGCACAGGAGCAAAAAGCACATAGCACAGGAGCAAAAAGCACATAGCACAGGAGCAAAAAGCACATAGCACAGGAGCAAAAAGCGCATAGTACTATAGTCTGAAAGCAGTATAGCACAGCAGCTAAAAGCACATAGCACAGGAGCTAAAAAACACATAGTACGGATGTCTGAAAGCATATAGCACTGCAGAATGAGAGAAGGAAACAAGCTTAGCAGTCTAAGCAGTACACAGCTCTGCACAGTCTTCTTAATGAGTCTGCAACGCAACCCATTTCGTGTACCTTTCACCGTGTTATTACCAGCACCTGCGTCGTGCAGCATCCGCTATCCACACTCCTCCTTCCGGGACTAACCACCTCCCTCTCCCTTTTTCCTCCTTCCTTGTCAAGCACCTGCTCTTGGTTTGTGTAGGTGTGGTGCTGTTTTTTTTTTTTTTTTTGCTGTGACAAATTCTGTGGTGTGAGGATGTGGATAATGACAATTTTCAATTTTTAATTTTATCCCCAGCCCATCTGCGTAAATGGTACACCCATGCAATGGTTGATAACCAGACCCGCGTTCAAATCCTGCCGTAATGCGGTGAATTAAACCACCTCCTTAAACCCTGAATTGTCTTTTCAAGTTTTTATTAGTTTTTAATCTGTCAAAAAAAAAAAAAAAAAAAAAAAAAACAGGGGGCCGCTCAATTCAATGACGATACCTCAAGGTCACCGCCATACCTAACAAAAAAAAAAGACACTGTCAGTGGCGATTATATTTTTTCAATTTTTTTGACACATTGGAAAACAAAAAAAAAAGAAAAAAAGGAAAAAAAAAGGACACATTGTGTTGTCTTGTGTTGTGTGCTCGACGAGGACTGTCCGAAATGAAGTGACTGCTATCTTAAATGAAGTGACTGCTACCAACCGATATATCATATTATACATCGGCATGTTTTGACTTGTTGCTGGACCGCCGTCCGTTTTGCAGGTCATGCGCGCGCCTTTTCAACTCTTGTCAACTCTTTTTAACTAGTTTTTAGTTTTTAGTTTTTAGTCCGCAGCAAGTTCTTTACGAGACGCACATATGATCTGCAGTGGAGATGGGTGCAAGCACACGGATTTGTGTTTATGTAGGTCCAGCTTCATATGATACATCGGGGCTAGGGCTGGGTCGGATATGAGTAAGAGAAAAAACATGGTCGAGACGTCGTTTTCTGTAGGTTACACCCACCCACCCCCTAACCTGGCAAGTGAAAGCTCTGTTTATTTACCTCCCCAACTCTCCTCCTTCTCCTCCCTTTCCTCCTCCCTTTCCTCCTCCCTCTCCTCCTCCCTCTCCTCCTCCCTCTCCTCCCTGCTGTGACTCTAGCATTCTAATGCGAATCTTTTTGCATTTCAGAAGACAGTCGTGAAAACTGTAATTTTCGAATTGTGTGATTCACATCTACTTAAAAATAGAGAAAAGGTTTGAAAATGGTAGGGGCCCCAACCACATTTCCGGCCATCCCCCTCATGTTCTAGATAGATTAGCACATAGTATTGGCTTAGGGCGAGGTCCCACTAGCACAGATGATTGTGTGAGGAACAAGCGCTCAAGGGGCCCTAGCAGACATCATATGTTCTGGGCTAAGGCCTCAGCAAGCCGAGTGCCAGCCCTAAGTGAAGGCGGGCCTGAATATTCGTCGAAGGCCAAAATTCAACATTTCCATATGTGGGTATTCAGGCTCTCGCAGCACGCCAGTTGGTTGAGTAGACGTGTGAGCCTCACATTGCTGCGTCGTACAGTTGGCCCAGGCCTTGACAGTTGCGCCTGGGCACATACACACAAAGCAGGGCCGATACATTGGGAAGCAGGCCATCGGCCTTTGGAAAAGCAGTCCTGTGGGCGCACCTACCTGGGAGCCCTGCACGGATGCAGCAAACAGCCCAAGACCGGAGACTCAGGCCGTGCCCAAGTGAAAAGGGCCCAGGCATAGCTGACCTCTCTTCATGCACCATAGCCGACCTCTCTTCATGTATCTCGTCACCCTCGACCTTGATAACCCCACGTTGCGCCTCCTTCCCTGAAGACCACCAGATCACCCGCATTACCCCCCCTGGCGCCCAGCAGCCCGGCTATGGCTGCCTGCGCCCCGCTGCCCTGCAGCGCCCCACTTCACCACTACGCGCCATGTCAGCGCCCTTGGCAGCAGCGCAGCATGAAGCAGTAGCGCAGCAGCACTTCCGCATTGCCTGCACAGGCCAGAATGCCTGGCCTGGGCTGCCTCACTTCCTTTATGGAAATGGCAGCCTCCTGGGTGCTGCGTGTGGCCTGGCTGGAAGCTTCCAGTGGGTTCTGGTTGGGCCTCAGACCCTTTGCCCAGGCCCGAGACAACAGTTGAGGGTGTTGACACTCATGTAAATAATTTGTAATTTGGTCTTCGAGAGTAGAAGGGAGCCTGTTGCGTGAACGAGCTGTAGGTAGGATAGTGGGGTAGAGGAGGCTGGGCGCTGGGCGCCAGACAGAGGGGAGAGGACGTGGAGGAGCGACTTTGGATACGGTGTTGGTGTGGCCGACGCCGCCCGACGGGCTTGAACATTGGCTCATTACTTCTTTGTATTGCTATATATGGATGGATTCTCGGTGCATTTTGTACTCTCTGGTTGGACATGACTACCTGGACATCGGTGTGATTTCGCAGCGTGGTTTTCTGTATATCGTTCACACTCATATTGCTTGCAATTGGATGTAATGCCTGAATCTGAACATGTTTCAGTACAGATGCAGAAAACCGTGATTGAGCTGCTTCTCTGCATCTCCGCTTAGAACCCATCCAGGTTCACTTTCTTTCCTCGCCCTTGTTCTTTCTGAAGATCTGTTACCGTAATGTAGACCGGAGCACCCAGGACTCTTGCTAGGAGAGGTGGTATGCTAGGACGGAGTGCTCGTACCACCTCTCCTAGCAACCAGTTCT